AGGAAGTAGCAGAAAAGAAAAAGAGAAATAAAGGAAGGGAGAAAAAATAAAGAGAAAACAAAAAGACCAAGAGTCAGTGTTTGGTAACCAAAATTAGTAAGAGGTAACACTGAAATAGCAGGAGAAAAATGTGAGGGTAAAGTACATTAACTTGGGAAAGGAACGAATTGATGAGGGTTGTGCTGGCTAATAAATTTGCAGGGCCCCACGCAAGATGAAAACACAGGGCCTCTCGTGAAAAAGTAATAGGAATTTCGAGATGATGACAGCAAAAGCAATAAGTGAAACACAGGGCTGTCCCCATGAAGCTGGCCCTAAAGAAGAATAAGAAAAGCTTTCAGGAGCCTTAAGCCTCCCTCAAATTCTCAGAGCAGAAGGCTTTGAAGAATACTCAACCAAAGGAGGTTTCCGCTGCCCGTAAATGCAGGCAGGGTGGGCCCAGACTGCACAGCCCACTTAAGAGAGAAGGCTGGTCTTCGTTTCGACTTGTCATCCTCAGTGACCGTGTCTCTGCAGAGAGTGGATTGCCCTGATGTGTCCAGAGAAGCCACAAATCGCTCTCCAGATACCACGTCCTCCTGGCGAATTTAATATAGTCATCAATTAAAATCGCGAACTTAACACCCGGGCGCGCCTTTCAGCACAAATGATGCATATCCTGCTGTATTCTCCGGGGCTGCAGGACTATGACCTGGGAGATGAGTCAGCCGTGAACTTCACTCAGCTGACAGAAAGTGCAACTTTGCTCTTTCGTGGGCCTTCCTGCAGCTTCCCAGGGAATTTTTCTCCCTTGAACACTGCCGTGATAGCAAAACATTTCGAGTGGGTTTGTATTTCTGAAGTTGTCTTAAAAAGGAAGCTGAAATGCTTTAAGTTTTTTTTCCCCATGAGCTAGCCCCCAAATTTTAATAGAATCCCTAGTACCTGTATTGGTTAATATGTACAAGACGCTTTAAGATTTAAAATTTTTTACTGTATTTTAATTGCTTTCAACCACATAAGATTTAATATGATACAGTATATTTCACTGTGCAAATGTGAACGCATACAACTATACACATATTCAACAATGCAATATATAGAAATAAAACAAATACACAGATTTGCACAACATGGCTTTTACAAAATCAAACACCGTCAGTAGCTTTAAAGCCTGTGCTATCTGCCTCCTCAATGTCACCTTTTCTTTCTACCCAGAGGCGTTACTATTTGGGGTTTATCATTCTTCCCCCTCCCTCAGTCCTATCTCAACCACCTTCACCCTCCCTCTCCCCTAGGTCTGCCCTCTGGGCTCTACCGCCCTCCCCTCCCGGAGCGCCAGACTGACTATCTGTCATCTTCCTAGGCAGCACCCCTCCCTGGTCTCTCTCTACGTGGCCCACCCAGCACCACCTCAACGTCGATCTTGTTCCTCTGGAAGAATTTCCAGCCACTATGTGGATTACATCCACATCCCTCACCCCCACTGCCTTGCCACCCAATAGTAGCGGACATAGTAGTAACCCCTGATTGGTTCTTTAAACATATTTGCTGGCAGCTTCCTCAGAACCCATCCGAGTTCACCCCAAGGCCCTGGGCCTAGATCCTGGGGAAGGCTAAGTTATGCAGAAGGGCAGATGGGTAAATTAAGCTACACTAAACTGCTTGTCAATTTTGTGGGCTAAAACTGTTAAAAATTGCCATAATTTCTCGCCTACCTGATAATGGCCCGAATGTGTGCATTACCTGCTTAAATAACCAAATAATTAGCTACCCAGGATTTACATATTATGGCACTATTTTACAAATTGCAAAGCAGTTTGAACCGGAGTGAGCACGGAGTCCAAGCTCCAAGACATTGAAAATTTATTTTAATTGCTTAAATGAGCAGACTTTATTTTTTAATAACAGTTTTAGATCTACAGAAAACCTGAACAGAAAGTACAGGAACTTTCCATATACTTTCTCCTCCCCCCACCTCCACTCCTAGTTCCCCTCTTAGCAACATCTTGCATTGGTGTGGGACATTTGTTACAACAGATGAATCAATATTGATACATTCTTATTAACTAAAGTCCACAGTTTACATTAGGGTTCACTCTTTTGTTGTATACTCTATGGGTTTTGCCAAATTCATAATGTCATCTATCCCCCATTATAGTTTCGTATAGAATAAAATACCCCATGGTCCCCCTCCCCAAAACCTCTGATCTGTTTACTCTCTAGAGCTTCATGTTTTCCAGAATGTCATATAGCTGAAATCACACAGCCTTTTCAGACTGGTTTTGTTCAGGTAGCAATCAATACAGATCTGAGGTTCCTCCCTGTTTTTTCATGACTTGATAGCTCATTTCTGTTTAGTGCTAAGTAATATTCCATTGTATGAATGTGCCACAATTTATCATATTCCTCTATTGAAGTGCTTCCTGGTTGCCTCCAATTCCTGGCAATTATAAATAAAGCTTCTATAAACATTCACGTGCAGGTTTTTGTGTGGACAAAACTTTTCAGCTCATTTAGGTAACTACCTAGCAGTGTGACTGCCAGAGGGCATGGTAAGACTATGTTTTGTTTTGTAAGAAACTGCCGAACTGTCTTCCAAAGTGGCTGCACCATTTTGCATTCCCACCACCAATGAATGAGAGTTCCTGTTGCTGCACATCCTGACTTTTGGTGTCACCAGTGTCCTGGATTATAGCCACTCTCACGTGTGTCCCGGTATCTCACTGATGCTTGATTTCGCAATTCTCTCATGATGTATGATGTCGGGCATTGTTACACATGCATATTTGCCATCCGTATATCTTCCATGGTGACTTACCTATTCAGATCCTTTGCCCATTTCTAAACTAGCTTTTTGAAAACACTCATTGTGAGTTTGGGCAGCTTTATGTATATTTTGGATACCAGTCCTTTATCAGATAGGTTTCGCAAATATTTTCTCTCAGTCTGTGGCTTGTCTTTCCATTCTCTTAACAGTGTCTTTGGCAGAGTGGACGTTTCTAATTTTAACGAAATCCAATTGATCAATTTTTTTCTTCCAACACCAAGATTTTTATGCTCTGTGTCTCCTTACCCGGCAGGGACTTCTAACTCAGGACTACTATTGTCAAGCCATCATGCATAAAGGATGCTCAAAGTAATCTTCCGTTCTCCCCTCTCATTCTCCCAGCACCCCAGCCAGGTGGTACTCAAGGATCAAAGTCCACATCCCTACTTAGGCCTCGTTGCCTGGATTCCTGAACTCTTCCGCTGGCCTCCTTCTTGACTCCTGGCTCCAGACACTGAATTCGAATACATCTTCCTTGCAACCAACTTTTTTTTCCCCTTTTAATCTTTCTTTTTAAAAATGGCAATAGTTTGATTTTTTTTAAATGAGATAGAACCTTGTAGGAAATACGAAACAGTGCAGGAAAACCAAAACGAATTCCATGCAAACCCACTCCAGTACCACACCAGAGATAACCATTAGGTTACTTTGGTCAATATTCTCCCTTCCTCTCTGACCACGTCTCTATCTAAAAATCTATAGCCACATTTTCACACAAGTGAAGCCTAGAATTTAAAATCGTAGGAGGTTAAGAAGAAGCCTTATCTATCATGGACAGAGACAAACAATATATAAAGGTCTGCCTTATCTTTGCTGGAACGACCCAGGCCTCGGGGCGCCCAACAGCGGGGGCGAGGGCAGCCTCGGGTAGCACAAGACTTCGATCCTTTCCTTTGTCCAGAAATCGCTGCCTCTCGGGTCTTCTATTCAGAACCTTGTACTTTTTAACTGAATGGAACAGGGAGAACTTTTCTTTCCCGAGGACACTGAAGTCGCGGGCAGGGGAGACTCCAGGAGGAGATTCATCCACAGAAAGTCACGAAGGACTCGAGAAGGGAAACTGTGGCGCACCCGGGAGCAGAGTGTTCCCTCCAACCTTTCTCTAGTGTCTCCGTCCCGACCCGCTCCTCCCGGGGACTTAAGGCAGCGTCCTAGCCTCGCGGCGCCACGGCCGGCTGCGCCCGAGCCACTCCGCGCTGGGTCCCTCTCCAAGGCCCTCCTGTCGGTCCCGCCCACAACTGAAGGGCGACCGGGGTTCGGACGCGGGGCGGCGACCCAGGACGGGTCCGGGAGGTGGCGGCGTCGGGGGCTCGTCCTCCCGCCCGTCCTACCTGGCGACGAAGAGGTAAGGGCAGCAGGAAAGGAGAGGCGTGGGAAACGCCCGCCGAATCCCCGAATTCAGCGCCCAGGGCTGCTGGCTGCTCGGGGGGGCCCCTGTCGGCTCTCCAGTCCTGCGCACCCCGACCGCCGCCCCCC